ATTAATAACCATTGCCTCTATTTAGGAGAGCTGTCCTTATTATGATTTTTACCCAAACATTTCCTCTTTCCACATGCTGTCCCTCCGAAAATCTCTTGTGATCCAGTGAATTTCAGTGGTGCTAAAAGGGGTGGGAGTGTCCCTATTTATAGTTTTCAAATATTGGCAGATGGGCATGCAGCCTTACATCACCTATACCACCAGGATGATTGCAGCAGGCAGGACATTATGGGCCCTCTCCCTTACTCCTTATGCTATACTGAACTCCCAATGGAATCAGTACTAAATTATAGTGAAAAGATTAGGTTTGGGCCCTGCATGTGGAAACCATCGCAGAGTATGAGTGGGGCAGGTAGAAAGCAGTTGAATTAAATCAAGAACGGACAGATATGCAGAGAAAACCTGAATTGTTCCCACTGAGTGAGTCATGCCATCACAAGGGCTAGGGGATGAGCACGCCTCATGTTCTACTTTCACATCTCCACAGCTCCATCGGTTTGTGGTGATGCCCCAGGAAGTACTGACCGAGTGCTCCCATGGTACCATTTTACAGTAGAGAGCCTGTTTTGGCCCTCCATTTTGTTTGTTTGGGTTGCAAAATGAAGAACTTTAAAAAGTAATTTGGCTATGGGATATCTACAAGCACGATCCTTTTTGAACAGACAAACACATAGATAACAGAAGTCTGTATTAAGCCAGCCCGATCCTGTTGTTCAATGTGATACTGATCCAGTTTGTCAGCTGTCAAAAAGGAAGTTGCTTTTGTTAAACTAAGCAGGCTCGGTTGTGCCGCTGAAGCATGGCATTGCATAACCCGTGCATTTTGCAGCAATAAGTGATGTTACCCTGGTGCTTATACCCTGCGGTGACTGGCGTTCAATAAGTACCTTAGATTAGACAGATAGATGGCAACCACAGCATATAGCAATGGCTGAAAAAGATTAAATCAAAGAATAGAAGACACAAGATAAGATTGTGGGTGTAACAAAAGTTTGCAAACACTGTTGCAGCTGAACAAATCATATTAGAGACCCTCACTTAGCAACCAAATTTTAGATTGTGTAAACACCTCCTCTGCCCTGCCCTGAGTTTTGCAATTTGTTTTTTTTGGTTATATTTTGAAAAAAAATTGTGATTTAAAATTATTCATCTGCAGGTTTTGCAGCCTAAAAACAGCTGAGTTAGTGCACATGACCCTAAAAATAAAACTGACTAGTAACAAAAGTAGATCTGGAAGAATTAGTCGAGTTTCATTGTACAAGAAAGGAGAAACGTAAACAGTAAATAATAGTGAAAATCACATTGGATTTGAAAAATTCTCTCCATTTTAATCAACTAATACTTTAAGGAGTATTAGTTGATAAAGACTAGGAGGTTCATAAAATGTTACCCAACCACGTCCCTTTAAAAGGATGCTATCAGCTTAAAAATCTAATAAAAAAATTACTCGAGTTAAAAGTAGTTTTAGGTACTACCTTGCCCTGGAGTCCACCTAGCAAATTCTGTAGTTTTACAATCACATTTGCTTGCATTTTTAATGGACTACCCTCCTGAGTTTCTGTGTTAGTCCCTGATCCTGAAAATACTTCTGTATGCGAGTAAGACTTCACACTATGGGCCAGATTCCCATTTACATTAAGGCCCCTTTCTACACCTCTTAGGCAATATAAATGTATTACACCCACTTTAAGGCCACTTTACACTGTCAGAATGGTGTATAAAGGGGCTTCTGTATAAATAAGATTCAGGTTTCATGGCTAACTGACTAGAGGAAAATGTGAAATCAACTATACACTCAGTGCTGTCAAATGCATAAAGTAAACAAACTGAAACATTTGAAAATATATTTTTCTCTAATCTTTTTTTCAGCCATAGTAATCTTACTTTTTAACAACAGTAAGCAATTTTTTTTCATACCAGAACTATGATTTTTTTAAGTGAAGGTGCCCCTTTAAGGATCTCTGGAAAACTGCAAGAAGGACATCTTGTACACAGTAATACAATTTGTGTAATTAAACATTGTTCTTAAATCTGTTAAAATATAAATGCCCCCTTCAAGAGAAACAACAAGGAGTCTGGTGGCACCTTAAAGACTAACAGATTTATTTGGGCATAAGCTTTCGTGGGCTAGAACCCACTTCATCAGATGCATGAGGTGAAAAATACAGGAGCAGATATAAATACATGAAAGGATGGGGGTTGCTTTACCAAGTGTGAGGTCAGTCTAATGAGATAAATCC